TTCGGTCTCCGCTCCTCCGCCGCTGCCTCCTCTCTCTCGTACCTTCGGTCCTGCTCGCTTGTTGCACACCCCACGCCCCGTGACGCATACATAGCACCCGAAGGCACGATGGTGAAGCCGTGTGTATTGACCGGGGTTGCGCTGGCAGCGGGAATCGTGGGCTCGGGAGCCTTTACTGGACCCGCTTTGGTGCGAGGGCATGTGCGGCCGGCCTCGTCAACATCTCGTTCCACGAACACATGGTAGGTCGCCCGCAGCCAAATCAAGCGGAGGCCTTCGATGGTCTGCGCACCCCACAGCAGGAATGTCGCTGCCTACCTCTCGTTTGTTCTTCTGGCCCTCATGAGTGCCCAGTGTGGCGTCTTGATTTGCCGCGGTTTGCGTGTTCATGTGTGTTGACCAACGGCTTTTGCTCCAAAAACAAGCGCGCCCCAAGTGTCCAACGGCTGGAGAGAGTGCGTGCCCCAACACCCAAGTTTGTACATTGCAATCAAGACAAGACGAGGAGGAAGATGTGCGGGGAGGGGGTCACTCTCTCTCGCTCTGTCTCGATTCTACCATGGAACTTCCTGTCGAGTGCTACCCAGTCATCAGAAAAATGGTTTCTGCACGTGCAGCCGTAGATTGACACACCATCGCCACATCCGACGCAGCTGCTACTGCTGTGTCATGCCGCTCCTCTCGACAGAAGAAGCAAGCGCGTTCCGTCGAATCAAATCAACAATTCCAAAGGCACACTCACGCCAGCAGTGCAGGTCATGTGTCTCACAACAACAGCAGTTGTTCACTGCTCGCTGCGTAGAACATCAGTGCTATCGGAACAAAAAGTCCCTTATCTGGTTGTAGATTACAGGCACGGCTGAGAGGCCGGAAATCCCATGGGGAGGGTGCCAATGCTCCCTTTCACACGTGGACCATGTGTGACCTGTCAGAGAATTTTTGCCATTCTTCGTTACACGCACGCATGTTTCAGCAGCGAGCGGCGATGCATCGTGTGTCCAACACATGTTTCCATTCCATATCGATGTGGGCCAAGTGTACGCGACGGGACCTGCAATGCAGCGCACGGTTAACTAGCGTTCGCCCTTCCCGAATTTATGGTTTGGCTGGACAGCCGCTGTTACTGCTTTTCCGGAGGCACTCATTCATGTCTGTGTCATGTGGAAATACCACAGCAGTGTCATGTTATACCGCCCTTGAGACTAACCGGGAGTCACTGCTACAGTATAGCCTGAACGCTCTACCACCGTTTCGGCACAAATATGTCTGGTACATGTGTCTGCTCCTAGGCCACGCGGAGTTTGCTTTCATGCCATCTTAACCACTTGACTACTGCTTTGTGTCCTCTCCCTTTTGCATCCTACACCACTTCTGATTTGCACGGCTGTGGCTTGTGTGTGCGTGCCATCACCTGCTGGTGTACTTGGGCGGGTGGGGGCGTGGGGCGGGGGATTGCGCGCATGGTTCTGCCTTCCTGCCGCTGCTGGATGCGACCGACTGACCGCTACCGGTGGGTCATCAAACCGTTTCTGCTGCGGACGATGGTGGACTAACTACCGGATGGACCGGGCATTCTTTTGGCGGAAATATGTGTCCCAAACCAACGCCACCATGGGAGAAGGGTACCCCGCATGGCTGTGACGGACGAGCCAAAAGAGAAGGAGGAGACGAAGGGAGCGCTTACCGTCGCCGTGAACACCGAAAACACCGAGTTTAGCGCGGGCGTGCTCGGGGGGCTCGCCGGTGAGTTTTTGAGAGAGGGGGGGGAACCCAAACGGTGGCAGCAGCAGACGAATTACGGCAACTTCTGCCAATAGCAGCAGAAGCGGCAGTTTTTTTTGCCCGCTTTCACAAGCAAAAAGAACCAGCAATCCCTGTCTACAACACGCATGTTCGTACATATTTTGTGTGCAGTGCTCAAGTACGGAGTAGGCAACACGCCCCATCTCGACTGGTATCTATGTTGCGGGGACCCTCTACCTGTTTCGTTGCCCCTGCCCCTTGACCCTTGACTACAACCCTAACAAGTGGTTAATGCACCACGTACATGTATGGTACATAGTGAAGTACGGCAGAACCCTGGAGGATTTTCCCAGGAATCATTTTTGAGGTACATGCGCAGATGCATGCACACTTTGCCCGAGGTTAATCCCGGTAGCTCGTCGTGTACCCCGGCAGTCAGAAGTACTACTACTTTTAAGCGTCTCAATAAGAATCAAGATGAGATGCGCTTTTGCCAGATTTCGGCCGACTCTGTAGACACGTCCACTTTTGACAGCAGATGCCCTTGTCGCGCAACAGTGGAGGTAGAGGAGGTACTCCTACAAGTATGAACCGGCTAGCCGCTCGACGCTGGTTGCCCTTCTGCCTCGTTGGCAGCGGGCAGAGCTCGATGTTTGGATGCCTTTGAACGAACTTAACGCTCCGCCTTCGTATTCATCTCGGCGTGCGTATACCGAAGGTTAAAAGGTTTTGCTATTTCGGGTACAACGTTCCGTGCTGCTCCTGTTGTTGGCGTGCTCGTGGCCTCTACTAGGAATGGTGTAACGGTCGATTACTTTTCGGCCGTTGGTATTTGTGTTTTTTGCCCCAACGAGTCGCACGATCTTGCGCCCAGCGAGTGTTTCTTGGAGTAATGACCGCCACCACTGCCTGGTATGCTGTATATCGAAAGGTGATTGCTGGCGCCAGCATAGATGTGACGAAACACACACAGACACACACTGCCTCCCAGAGACCGGAAGTTGTTGCCCGCCCTGCGTTATCGCTCTTCCGGAACCCGGTTGTTTTTCGAGGCACATTGCCTTACGCGCCAGCACTGCTGCTGCTGTTGGTTCTTGACTTGCGAACGCGGCAACATTTGGCTCTCTTATATTTTGTTTTGGCGGTCTTGCGCAGCAAAAGACACCAGAAAGACTGCCCGCCAACCACTACCGGTATACAAGGTGCTGCTCGCAACCCCCGAATCATGAAGGAAACAGGCATTAATATCTAAAGATAGGAAGCAGGGTCACCGCCGCACCACCGTCGACTACCAGACCACTATTTTGTTACGCGTTGCATACAGAGCATTTGGCGGCTCACACGTGGTTCCTTTGTCATATTTTTTGGAGGAGAGAAGCTAACGCCATGTAGCGCGCGACAGCAATTCGCAAATACCCGTGGCATGTACACGCTTACGAATCTGTGTAACCCCCGCGAGTAGTTCGCAGCATGAGTTCCTCCTGTTTCATCAAGCTCTTTTCTATCTGTGGGTTTGTAGAAGTGCACTGCAGAATCACACTACAAAACCAGCCGTTACGATGGCTGGAACAGCCAACGGTAAAACATCCGGAATATGAACACGAATATTCGCATGTTGTTTTACCGCTTTAGTAAGACTGGCGTCTTGAGATTGGTGAGCCAATTTGCACAATGGTTTTGGTCAAGAATCAAAAGACACACACACACACTTGGTTGAGCCGTTTCATGTATCGTCCATCCTAATAAAATTAAAATTAACCTCATGTTTGTATGCGCACATGCACACCCACGCGCAGGCTTCTTCGTCGGGGGACCGGTTCTCGCGGCCGTGCTGGCGGTGGCCGCCAACTACGGCTCCAAGCAGGAAAACGAGGCGGGGGTAGCTGTGCGCGGCGTGTCCGCCAACGCGATCGAAGCGTTCAACTTCTTGACTACGCTTAACAGCAAGTACGACGTTACCGGTGAGTGCTTTGTTCCGACGTTTGCCTGTCTGTCTGTCTGTGTTTGTTTCTTGCGATAGGCGGGGCCTACGGTAGTCGGTAGTCTCTTACCTCAATTTAGTTTGTTAACCGTCACTCGCAGGCTTGGCTTCTGCCGAATGTCGTACGGCGTACTGTAGTAGCCCCTCTCGCTCAAGAGCCCCACTCTGGGGGCGCGCAGACAAATATTCCTTAGCGGTAACATGATTGACGCGCCCTTGTTATCAAACCGAACAAGGGTAGTTTTCGGGTCCTCACTGCTGTGCTTCTGTTTGCGGCGACCCTCGGTTGCTTGACCCCGCGGGGGGAGTTTTTTTTTTTGGTGCGTGTAAATAGTTCCTGTCCAGTAAGGGATTAAATAACGGGTGTCGAAAGACAGAAGATCGACCATGGCGGAGGGGAGAGGCGATGGAGGTGTTGGAGCAATTTTTTGGTTCGGCCGACGGAATGTCGGCTTTGTTTGAGTACGTATGTTTACCCACAATCAATGCCGAAATTGTCCGCTTGTCGGGCCTGAAGGGCTGGGTTGATGAGAAAAACAAACCACAGGCCGAATTCGTGGTATTCACGCGCGGGGTAGAATAGGACAAATATTGGGAGATGAGGTTTGTGACTTTGGTCACAAACTGGTCTCTAGTATATAGACAGAGAGCCAAAAAAACGGGGCGCGAAAATGGTGGTGAGAGGAAGGGAGTTGAAGCTTTTTTCTGACGCCGAGACGAGCCGTCAACAGCAACCCATGCTCTCGGCTCTCAATGTTATTTGACATGTACTCCGGAGTATTGCCAAAGCAGAGTTTTAGGTAGTTCAGACGTCTACATATCGAGAGAGACAGACAAGAGGGGTGGGACGCATTGGAGTCCAAGGGGCATTTTCTGATGCCGAGACGTGTCAACAAACTGCTGTTGTATATACCAACAGGCAAGGCGGGGGCACAGCTTGACAAGGCCGTGACCGAGCTCAAGTCGACAGGGGAGGCGGGAGACACGATCGAGAAGGTTGAGAAGACGGTCAAGGACCTCACGTCGCAGGCGACCAAGCTCTCGAGCGAATACGACCTCCCCGCCAAGGCGAAGCAGGCGTTGGGCGTCGCGGGGGAGCTGGCCGACACCGCCATCGTCAAGGTACAGCAAAAACAGTAGCGGCAACTCTGTTGGAAAATACAAGGGCCGTCTGGATAAGGGGCGCGAATACCACAATGGCCCCCTATATTTCCGAACAGAAGCGTTTTAAGAGGGATTGTTTTCGAGAGAAGAATCGGATTCGAGGGGGTGTTGTTGGCTTGTGGCAACCCTTTCTTCTTCAAGTATGATGTGTGCCTTGCCCACTGCAGTGGGTATGTGGCTTTCGTTGACAGCGGCAGTGATCACTTGGTGCAGAGTGAATTCACTCGCACCCACCCGTCTCTTGGATGTATCTGCCCCTAACCTTGCGGTAGCTTTCATTTTGCTTCTACGTGCTCGGATAGACGTGCTCTGGTGGTGGTGCTTGTTTTGCTCGTGTTGTTCCGTGGACGAACGTTCATGTACTGGAGCGGCATTTGGAAGACCTACCTCCTTTACGGGATTGATGAATAGGAACACCCCATGTGTTTCGCCTCAGGCCTATGTTGACCCTGTTACCCCTACTCCGAACTGTTGTTTGGAACATACGTGTGCACAGAATAATTATTTTTCTGGCATTTTTGTGTGGAGGAGAGTTTTTCCGTCGTGTGCGTACACACACACTACCTTCAAGAGGAGCAGTGTGTAAAACAGATACCAGTTTGTGGTGCATCGATGGTTTTGAAGTTGAATCGCACTTTCAATCGAGAGGCACTGAACCGTTCTCTTGTCCGAAAAACAAGAAAATAGTATGTTCCCCGAAGATGTGCCTTCAGCCGCAACACGTTCAACGTTCACTTCCAATCCCATCCATCTAAACACGCATGATATTCGCGGATGACACTATCCCCGACGAAATCATCTGTACTACGATAGCAATCGATCCGGTTCTTCACATTTTGTCACCCCTGCAGATCCGTGGTCGACGTTTTTTTTTTTCCGTGCTTTGGCCTACAATCCCATCTCCTGTTAAAACACGAGGGTTTTCGTGCGCTTGAAAGGTAAAACGTACCGCGTGTACCAACTCACCCTACCTTTAACTCTGGAATGTTGGCATCGTCAGGGGATCGAGCTGGAGAAGGAGTACAAGGTTACCGACAAGGTTAAGGACTCGATCAAGAAGTCCATCGACAGCACCAAGAACTAAGGGGTATTATTCGAGAGCTTTTGTTTTTTTCGTCCGAAGATTTTGGGATGGAAGGGCGCGCTTGTTCCACATCCGTCCGCCATCGGCCTGTTCCACACACGCTTTTGCACGCGTGCTGCCCGTGAATGGGGGGGGGGGGGAAGGGGAGGTGCCGCGTGTTTTTTGTTATGCATGAAAGTAAGGAGACCTTGCGGGCGAGACTCGGGCGAAACAGCGGCCGGCATTCAAAAAGGACCCTTTGCAGTTTAGTGGCGTCAGGGACTAGCGGACAACGGTAGACCTTATGTGTGGGACTTGGCTAGGGGGAGGATGATGATAGCGGAGGCGTCTTGTGATGAGGAAGCTGCTTTCGAAGAATAGAAACACACGGATAGGAAGAAAATTTAGGAGGTTGTCGTTGGCTGGCGTGGTTCTGGCTGCCTTTGCGAGCGAGAATTAAGGCCGGGCATGTGGTTCGGACCGGGGACCGGGTGCATTCTTGGTTTTGGTTTTGACGGTGCTGGGCTTGTTTTGGCCGGAACCCAGAGTTGTTGACTCGCACACGTAGGGATGTTTTCTTTAGCCCTACATTATTACCCGCCTGGTGACGACGCAGATATGATGGCATGGGAGGAGGGGGGGGGGGGGGAGTAAAGGGGTTAAAAAGCTAAGGGCGCAACTATGATTGGATTTGGTTTGCAATCCCGGACGGGCGGCTTTTCCGACGGAGTGGATGTGTTCCGGGGCCCCCCCCGTCCTGGTTCTCTTACACTTGTGTGCTTCCAATATTCATTTGACGAACCTCGTGAACGCCAAACAGAAAAAGGGGGCCGACCGCCATGGCCTATGCTCTTTGACGAAACTTGCAGCCATGGCGCCCAGCCTCGCAGTGGGTGTTGTTGGGAGCGATATTGAGAGAGCGAGAGTAATGTTCGCAGCCAAAAAGGTTGACCGGAAGTCTTTCCTTGTCCTCGTGCTTGCGTCGCTACAGTTCCTTGCCGTTGCTTGAACAAGCGGTCCGAACACAGCCAGCCGCATCAGTACTACACCGGTCGGCGGCAAAACCTCTCTGCAACGCGACGCCACCGTGTCCCCGCAACATTATTTTGTCGTTTTGTACCAATCGAATTTTGCCTTCAAAGCGATGATGCCCAAGGTGATTCGGTCACACGAGGAATCGATGCCCGACTTCCTTTCTTCTTTGAACTATGCACGCGTTATTCAAGTATTTTTCACCTCCACGACGCGCGGCTAGCCGGTATGGCTACCGCACATCGAAGAGGAGCACGCCCGCCGTCACGATGGCCCTATGCGTACATAAGTCACCCACCTGCGCCGTGTTGATTTCGTGGTTCGGCGGTGTGTGGACTATGCAACGCACACCAAAGAGGCCAGAGAGGGTCTAAGTGTCTGCACTCTGTCGTGGCACGGGGATGTACATGCCTAACGTCCCTCCTCTCACAGCCTTTAACTTAGAGGTAGGTGTGTCTGGCGGTGTGGTGGATTGAGTCCCCAACGTAATGAACGTGATGGTCTCCGCCGGACGTTTGAACGTGAAGGTCTATAGCAATGAACGACGTACTTTGCTAGCTGGTACACGCAGTCCCGCTAGTTCTGGCGGTGGTGGATCCTCTACCACTCCCAAACAAAACAAGGGGGGGTGCAGGAAAATGAAGTTTCCGACTGGCCCTCCGTTGGTGATTTTCCTCATCTCTGGTCGAGGCTCAATGTTCTTCGTTGTTCAACCGGCGAGCTGGTGTGAGGCTACGTCGTTGTTGTGACAACTACTGTGAACCCAATTTTTTTTGCAACTACTGCAGTTGTACGGGAAGTGACTTCGTGCTATAGTACGCAATACTTCCACCAATAATGCTTCTGAGGTGCGGTCGTTTTGAATGACCCGCACGCGCACACGCCAGCTAGATGCGATCGATCACAGCTCTGCCCCTTCCTGTAACGCCGTAGGGGTTCGTCCAACCCCGCCCCGCACTAACAACGTGTTTGGCGTTTATTAGGTACGCACGTCACGTCACAATAATATCCGAAATAGGCTTATTTGATCCATGTCTGCCAGGAACATGAATTAAATTGCCTTGACAGCGGAAGAAGAAGAGGAATCTACAAGATCGCAACGGCGTCCCACCGACCTGCTTCCCACCCCTCCCCGCCTCTCGTGCTGGTGCATCGACCGATACTTGCGTGGTGCGCAATCGAACCCCCAATATTGCCCCCCCCCCCCCCCCCCCCCCTCGTCCTCCAGCCCCCTTGCAGTCTCCGACGTCAGCTCCTCCCCCTCCTCTTGAAACTAGATATCGTTGTGGCTGGGGGAATAAATGCCTTCATGCGTTTTGCGTCGACAGTGATCTT